GGGCCCTATTGTGTACCTACATAGAGGAAAGCAAGACAGGAAAAAGAGTAGCCTCATTACAACCAAGTGTTTTAACTTGGGCACTCATAAGAGTGAAATGAAAGGGACATGAATTTGGAAGTCCCACTATAAGGTTGTTATTGTTTAGAGGTAGACAAGATCACACCGAGCTATTGATAGAAACTGTAGTGTAGTTGGGTGGAAACTCATACCTCTCTCTGTATAGCTTGCAGAGTCTTACCTTCCTGTAGTAATTATCCTTGAACTAGATTTTGAACAATAAAATAGCTGGCCTTGAAGAGAAGACACTGCAATTAAGTTTAACAAATATTTGCTAAATACTTACCATGTACTAAGTGCTATGTTATGTCCTACGGAGATATAAGAGAAATAAGACTTGGTCCTTAGTCTCATTGTGCTTACGTTATAGTAGAAGGATATGACACAAGCCCAAATACTGTTAATGCATATTATACTATGTAAGTGTATAAGAGCAACTTAAGCAAAATGGTACATAAAGGCGAAGAATGAGAAGATCATTTCCAACTTGAAGGTTTCCAAAATAGCTTCATATTTGAGGCAATATTTGTAGGGTAGATAGGCTATCAACAGGGTTCATGGAGGGAGAAGAGGTTCTAATATAGGAAATGCTATGAAAAAAAGCATGTGTGTAGTGGTCAAACAAGCGAGTACCCCTTATAAGCAAGGGCTTCCATTCTTGATGAACTTTCTTAACTTACTAGGAGATTTAACCTCATTAAAGCCAATCCAGGCTTGACAGAGGTGTTATAAGTCATCAATGTTTCTTGGCTTTAGTGTGCCTGAGTGCTCCCATAGGTGAGCACAGAATCCAAGAGACTCCCCCCCGCCCGCCCAAAGTGTGTACCCTGTGTTTGCAACCCTGCCTTAGTTTGATCTGGTCTTTACCTGGCTGGGCAGCTCTCAGATGGTTAGAAATGTAATCAAGGTGCTAGCCTCTAACATCAGAGGATTGTGCAGACCTACGTAGGTTTGATTCCTGTGCCTTCAGTTCACCTAACATGAACTAACAACCTGTGGCCTCAGCATATCATGTTCCTGAGAGGAGATGATATGTGTGGCATGCATTGGGGCACATTCTTTAGCCAGTGACGTTATAATAGAGGAAAAAGGAACTGATGACCACAGGCAGGAGATTTAAGGGAGTAGACGTTCAAGGAGACCTAATCCTACCTCCTATCTCCAACTACCATTTTCATCTTCCCTGAATCCATGCCATAGCCACTTGAGACTGAGGGGACACAAAATTCTTTGCACCATGACTGTAGTTAACAGAGGAGAACACCATAGACACAGCTATATTTCAGGCAGGAAAGAAGGAGCAAGAGGAAGCTGGGTGTCTGAGGATTTCCTTTCTTACTTAAAATTGTCTTTTCAGCAGAAACCATTTTGTAATTCACACTACTCAGTATTACAAAGGACTAAATCTAGATTGTAGACAGAAAGGTTCTGAAATACCTTTCCCTTTTTCCTTTCCTCATTGTTAGCCCTTACTCACATGCATGAAGTCTCTGGGCTGTGTCTGCTTCAGATACCTCTAAGGCCAGAAGAAAGATAAACATTGAAATGGCCAACATTGGAAGCCACCTTGGGTTGTTGAGATCTTCCTGGTCTTTGCTCACCTAGACCATCAAAAAATTGAGAAGTGTAACAAAAGCAACAAGTTAGGATGCTTGGTAGGAGAGTGGGATCCAAAGCAGTCTGCAGCAGGAAATGCTACACAGAATGTGTTATATTTGTTAGAAGGATGCTGCTTTCTTCTTTTTCAGTTTGGAGATTAGGGAGGTAGGAGTAGGAGGGAAGCTAGGGACAGGGTAGACAAGAAAAAGAAGAAAGTGGGGCAACTAGGTGGCACAGTGGATAGAGCACCGGCCCTGGAGTCAGGAGGATCTGAGTTCAAATCTGGCCTCAGACACTTGACACTTACTAGTTGTGTGACCCTGGGCAAGTTACTTAACCCCATTGCCTAGCCAAAAAAAAAAAAGAAGAAGAAGAAAGTAAAAAAAGGTAAAGAAAGAAAAATGGGTCATTAAATGCACAGAAGGGGTAGGAAAAAATCACAGATAAGCAGGACCATTTTGAATTTGTATTTAAAAAAGAAAAGCAAGCTGTACATAATAGACTTGTAATTTTCATGTACAATACTTTTTGTTTGTTTCTACTGTGTAAATGGAAATGCATATTTTATTTGGTGTTTAAATTCAGAATTTTACAAAAGAACCCATGCCAGGCTCCCTTCAGGCATTAGTTAGATGAGAGGAGTGGGGCTGGCCTGAGACTGCTGCAGGGTTTGGAAACAGGCGCCACTTAGCTAACTCTGTAGAGGTAATGATATCTGTAGCTACTGCTGTTCCTGGTAAGGGCTTTTATGAATCTGTAGGCAGATCACTCAGCCATCTTCTGGGACTCCAGGAGGAGAACTCAGTGTTTCTCCTGAGGGTCTGTTTTGCTGAGTGTGCATGTGCTTCCCCAGAGGCACACATGCCAAGCACTGCTTCAACAACACCCAGCAGCTGCAGAGAATACGTCATCCTAGTCACCTCTTCCATGTCTGTGAACTTTTTTGCTCCGTACCATCACTATCCCACCCAACGGAAATATTGCCCTCTCCAGATTTTCCTGGGGCAGTCTGTCTAGATCTCTCCTTTGCCCCCATCTTGCATTATGCTTGTTTTATATGGTATGCATGTCATATTGCCCTTATTCGAATGTAGCCTCCATAAAGGTACAGACTATCATTTTTTCAGAATCTTTCTATCCCCAGCACCTAAGCAATGTTTTGTACCCAGTAGATGCATAATTGTTAATTAATGTTAAATTGAATTGAGTCTCTTGATCCTATTGCCTACTACTCTGCTGGCCGACCAGTACTTTGCCCTGAGAATTGTGGTGTAATGATACAGCCCAAGGAGACCCTACTTTTCAGCTCAGCTCTATCTCTCATGGGATCCCCAGTGAGGAAGGTTTATAACTGCAGCACTTGCCAAAGATTAGTAGAAAAATGGAGCCAAGGAGTAGATGTCCTAAGCTGTACGTATTTTTCCTTTCTTCCTCACAGAGCCCGCAGCCAGCGTGATGCAGTCCAAACGAAGGAAATCCAAGTAAATCGCTTCAGGCAACTTGAGACTTGTAAATATGTGTGAATTTTACAAAAAGCAATTTTGAGCTGTGATTTTTAAAAACAAACATAACACTTTCTGTACAGTTAATCATTTTAATAATGCTGCCTGTCTCTCAAACCACATAGCCTCTTTATTAATGAACAGCAAGAGAGGCAGGGTTGATGACCCATTTGTTGTGGCAAGATGAAGTTCAGGTTTTCCAAAAAGAATTGTTGTCTCTTGTAAGAAATGACAACCTACTGTTGTAAATGTCTAGATTTCACATTTGTTTCCTAAGCAAATTAGCAGACACAGTGGCCATTCTTAGGTAGCTGGTGATGTTTTGTGCAGTGGAAGTACTCTGTGAATAGCTGTATTGGGGGCAGAAAAAATCCCTCTCCTTTGGAAATGTTGTAAATAATTTTATTATAGATGATTTCAGACATATTTGTTGTAGAAAAATGGACCAGTGAATAAAAAGAATCTAAGGGTTTGTATAATGTGGAATTCCAAATGCTCTAAATAAATGTCATTGTTTTAGACCATGAAGGGTATTATTAGCAATAGTGGAGCCTCCTCTGAGGAAAGGGCGAGGTTTTCTCATCTATAAAATGAGAGATCAGAGATGCAGAACTGGAAGGAACCTCAATCCTCTCATTTTACAGATAAGGAAACAGGCCCAGAGAGGTGAAATGAGACTTACCAAAGGTTAAACAGGAAAAAGTGGTAGAACCAGGATTCAAAACCAGCTCCTGACTGCAAATTCAGGACTAAGTGACCTTGAAGATGCCTTTCAGTTCTAAATCTATCACCCTGTGTATAGAAGGAAGTTTTTATTCATTGAAGATGCTGAGCATCAGCCATTCTCTTCACAAGTTTCTAACTCTTCTTGGGCATCTAGGTAGCCTAGTGGATAGAGTACCAGGCCTGGAGTCAGGAAGACCTGAGTTCAAATCCAGTCTCAGACCCTAGCTCTGTGACCCTGGGCAGGTCACTTCACCTCTTTGTCTCAGTTTCCTCATCTGTAAAATGGGGATGATAATAGTACCAACCTCCCGGGGTTGTTGAGGATCAAACGAGATAATGGTAAAACACTTATCACAGTGCCTATATGGTTGGCGCTATATAAATATTAGCTGTTATCCCTTACTCTTATCTCCCTCAGCTGAGGTAAGAGATTTGAAGTCTGAGGATTCGATCCTTGATGTAGGTTTCTTAGGAGCCCTTGGAGGCCCAAGATGGCTGTGCATTGCTTTCTCTTTCCTCCCTTGCTCTATCCCTGGGTCTTCAGCTTCAAACTGTGCTGTCATCTTTCCCATTAGGTCAATAGGCCTTTTCGTTTGTGGTCCTTCCTCTCTGGCACTTGACAGTCACTGTCATAGAAAGTATCCTGATCAGCATCGTGTCCAGGGGGTAATCTGAACCACATTTGAAGGCCCAGTGGGGCTCCCCACCTCCCCACCCCTGAGCTAGACCTTCTAGGCCCTGAACAAGAAGTGTGGCTTGTGGTGCCAAAGAGGTGCCACATTTCTGTGCTCTTATTTCCTTATATTCAAGCCTTCTGCCTGTGGATACTGTGACTCTCAGGCTCATGCCATTTAGAGCAGAGCAGCCCAGAATGAAGATGATCTTTTTAGGGAGGGAGAGAAGAGTGCTGGGCTGACTGCCTTTCTTGAGTTTGCCTCAGCCCTTTCTCTTAAGATGTCAGCATCCCCCATCATCATCACCCATCAGGAAGCAAAAGGGAACTAGGAATGTGGCCTTATCCCATTGTATGCCCACATGTCACTTTTCCTGCACAGTGCCCTGTAAGCATGGGATTTCTGGCACACCCCAAACCAAGACAATTCAACTTCAGTATATGCTTTAAATAGATTTTTATTTCTTGTGTTTTCTTTTATATTAATTTTTTCCCCCACAGAGGAATAGCGTTACAGTCTAACACTCAAGAGTCCTGTTACACGCACACACATACATACACACACACCACGACAGTGTCAAGGTGGTTGCATCCTTGAGTCCACCAACACACATTTTAAACATCCTAAGGAAGGTTCCTTCTACAGTCTGGGCTCAGCATATGACAGAGACGCAGCTTGTTAGCTTTGTTTGGAACCAGGCGGCAGGGCTACAGTCATAGGTATCAGAAAGTGGGTGGTTTGTCTGCATTAAGCCCCCTAGTTCAAAGCCATGTGGATTTAGTAAGGCATTTGAGATCTGGAGCACCTGGGGGGGCAGTGATGCCCTCTAAGTGAGGAGAGGAGGCGCTCTGTCTAAGGGGTGGATTGGTGGATTCCTGGTTGCACATATATTTAAAACTGGTCACAACCGTACAGGTAAACACACACACACACACACACACACAGTGGCCCTCTTGGGACTAAGAGTGGGGAGCAGGGGACCAGGAAGTGATACTTGGGGCAAGGGAAGGGCAGGTTCATGCTCTCAAGACTCAACAGGGAAAGAGTGATGCTGCCCTTGTGAACAGTGCTTACTCTTTAGAAACAAACTCTTAGAACAAAAAGATGGGCATCTCCCCCCAACACACACACACTCATGCATGCACACAATTTTGTCGAAGTGCTGGTTATACTGATGTCTTGCTAATACTCCACAAACTGGTCATTTCCTCAATGTCTCTGAAACAGTTGTCACTGCAAACTCTGACTCCCTGTCTTAGGTTGCATAGGACTTCATGAATACTGGTTCCTTAATTTGTTCAAGTTCTGTGGTTTGAAAAACCTTGAACCATGCTAAGAGTGAAAGGCACATACACAGTCCATATAGTATGAGAAGATCTGGTGGCTCTGTAGTCAAACACACAGGGGACAGAGTGGTGTCAGGTCTTAAAAATCTAGACATAAAATATTGCCACACTTAGATGCTACAGTGTCTATGGGATGATAGAAAAGTCTTATGATCAGCTCATGTTGATCCTTGGGTAAAAAGACTTGAAGGAGTTTTGAGGGGAGGCATTAACAGGAGGCAAGCAAGGTTTAGGATGATAGGCTCCTACTCTCTAGACTTCCTTCATTCCAGTCCCCGTCAAACAGTTACTAGGAACCCAACCCAGCTCCTCAGCACTGGAACACGGAAGATGGAAACTCTGAAAACGTCAGATGTTAGGAAGCCACAGCATAGCTGGGTGTGAGGGGCGGTTTAGGGAAAGATTCTTGAAAGAGGGTTGAGGGACAGGGTATAATATTAGTCACTGACTTCTGAGTAAGCTGAAAGTATTTTTGAAATGTCATCTTGTTTTAATTTTTAAAAAATAATTTAGTTTGCCCGTTGGGGCTGGGGCCTCTGCCCATGTAGCAATGAAGCTATAGGCACCTGGACTCCAGAAGCCAACCCTGTTGTACTCTGACTATGGAGCCAGGGCCAAGTAATGGGGAAAGGAGTATGTGGACAGAATGACTTGTGTTAGAGGAAGAATCCTTGAAAATGTCAAGAGACAGAACTATCATAAGAAATAAATCAAGATGAAGAGACAGGAAAAAAGAATGACATCTAGAAAAACTGACAGGGGCGATTCAGGGCATTGCAAGGAGACAGTTGCTGGTATCTAAGCCCAGAATTCACAGCCCACAGCATCAAAACGGGCAGCTACTTCTTAAGTCTGAGGCTAGCCATGGTTTTGGGACTTTCTCTCCCTCTCCCACACACCTCAGGAAAAAATAAAGAACAGCCACCTGGTTTCTGCAGGTGGAAAGACAGGGAACCTCAGTAAAGGTTGATACTAATAGCTCTAGTTTCCTAGGGGTAAGAACCTCAGAATGAGTGGGCAGTAAAAGGGCCAGAGGAGGTGCTTCTCTGCCCTTCTTCCAAGGCCTGGATCTAAATAGTCCCCATGGGAAGGTTTGGGACCACCAGAAGATCTGTCCATCCTGGAGCAGAGAGGATTCTCCCTAGCTCTAGGGTGGGTGAGACATTTGTAATGCAAAGCACTGAACTCTGGTATTGAGGCAGGAAGTAAATTGAGCAGCCTAGTCATTTAGAGCCATCAGGCTGAGGTCAGAAGTTATCCTTTTCATTGCCCTCAACCCAGTCCTTAGAGAGCCCCTCTCCTACCCTCAGGAAAACTGCTAGCCCAGGCTTCACAGGGTCTTCTGGATCTCCCCAACTCCAATACCTTGGGGCAGAGTAATGGAGGGAGGAGTCACCTGGACCAGAAGTCGGTGTGTGGTGGCAGCAGACTGAAGAAACCACCTGTTTACTCCATAAAGCAGTTTTCTAAGCCAGGGTGATGGGTCCCTCTCAGCTAGTAAAAATCCAGCTTTCCTGTGCTCGGGGGTTCCCTCCTCCAGAGCTGCTTCTCCTGACTCTTTATCTTTCTCAAGTCTGTCTCTGACTTTCTGTCCCTGTCTGAATCCCTCCATTCTTTCACTCTCAAATTTCACATCTCACAGCCCTCTCCAACATACTTTACCTTCAGAGACCTGGGCCAGCTCTAAGGAGTCTGTCCTAGAGTAAAGACAATAGGAACTGGGCCTTAGGGCATTGCAACCTAGTTGCCAAGACTTGTCAGGGAGCCTTAGAAAGAGACTTCTGTCACTCACTGACAGATAGACTAGGAGAGAGGTTAGGGAGGGGCAACCGGATCGAGGTTGGGGGATGAGGAAGGGGATCAGAATTCACAGGACAGGATTTAGAGGGAGGGAATGGGAGGAATCAGTTGGGGAATGCAGAGATCCAAAGTAAGGGACTGGAATCTCTGGACAGGGGAATGGACAGAGGGACAGTTACCCCACAGGGATGGCTAGCAGCACCTCTTTCCCTCTAGACTCTACTTGGGTAGAGGCTCCCTTGGGGCAGCAGGGCCTTGGCCAACAGGTCCATGGAGCACGTGGGAGTCACCACTTGGGTCCAGAACAGGTGGCAGGAGCAGGCTGGTGAGAATAAGTGGGTAAGGGGTAGTGTCAGCGGGGAAAGGGGGTGGGGGAGGGAGGCTGGTGAGAGGTTTATTTGAGAGCAGTGTAGATTGGAGCAGCCCAGAATGGGCAGACAGGCGACCTCAGGGACGTCAGTAATTGAACTGGCGCTGGCACGGCTGGTGGAGAAAGCTGCCCTGGTGCTTAAACCGGCGGGAATGGCGCTCTCGAACACGGTTCTGCCGCTGGACAATTTTTGGGCTCAGCTTCTGTCTGTCAGCCCTCTGACGGGCCCGCTGCACCCACCGGGCCTGACTGGCCTTTTCCAACACTGCTGTCCGAGGGGGCATCGAGGCTGTGTGGTGCCTGGGGCCTGGATCCCTTCGGACTTGCATGACCTCCCTTGGGGAGAGGAGACATATAGTAGACTCAGTATATAGAGTACTCAGTGAGTAGGCTGCTTGGAGGAAGCCCATCTCCACTGCCCAGACCCCAGTATCCCCTAAACTCCCCATCCTGCATGACCCCTAATTCCAGGCTTTGATTCACAGTGTCCTTTCCACTGCTAGTCTAGAAACTGGCTTCATCATTTCCTGCTTGGACTCTTAGCAACCTAACTTCTCTGCCTTCATTTTCTCCTTCCCCCAATCCATTCTACATGATGTATCTAACGTGCAAGTTCCTTCTCTTTATAGTCCTCCCCAAAGGATAGCCTTTATTGATTCTTGCAGCCTTACTTTCTGGCTCCTCTCTGGCTATACTACTCAGGAACACTCCCCTCCCCCTCAAGCTGGGCTAACTGAAGGACCAGAGTCCTGCTCAGGCCAGGAGTTCTCAACCTGAGGTCTGTGAACTTTAAAAATAAAAAAATTACATCCATAGGCTTCATGGACTAAAAGGGTCCATTGTCTCTCTCTCTCTCTCTCTCTCTCTCTCTCTCTCTCTCTCTCTCTCTGTCTCTCTCTCTCACACACACACACACACACACACACACACACGTGTTAACCCCTGGCTTAGGCCATATATCCTCACCTTCCACATCACCAGGGAATCTATTATTCTTAGCCTTTCCAGGCATAGCCAAGCCCTACCTGGTACAGAATTTTTCTGTAGCCTAGTGATCTGGGACAAAAGGATACCAGTACATCCTAGCTTGACACCTCCCTTTCCACCCTTTGAACTCCCAGGGACGGTGATGATTCTAACCATCACCATAGCTCCAGAGCAGAAATGCCATTGTGAACCCCCCCACTCCTTCCACACACACACACACACACACACACACACACACAGTAGCTCCCTTTTCTAGCACTAAAGGTCTCTATAAAACCTAAGTGATCCAACCTCAGGTGACACAAGCCCACTCAATACTAGCCCAGTAAAGAATGCTGCCCTGGTGCTTAGACCAGCAGAAGTGGCACTTTCAGACATGGTTCTGCCTCTGGATAACCTTAGGGCTCAGCCTCTGTAGGCTATCTGGTAGAAGGCTGCACCTATCAGACCCCACTGGCCTTTTCCATCAGTGTTCTCAGGTCGGTTCAGCTCCCCCAGTCCCCTCTATGCCCTAGGCCTTTGCCCTGCCCCTTTCCCTGGTCTCATTCTAGATTCTTCCTTCCCTATCCCTGTCCCTGGGGCTCACCGTTGGCCAGCTCTGGCTGGGGGCGGGGTCCGGGGTGGGGTCAGGGTGGGGTCAGGCCCAGGCTCCAGGACGATGGTACTGCCAGTGACATAGACAGACATACTGGGGTGCTCGATGAGCAGGTCCTCCAAGGGGCTGCTTTCCAAGTGGGCAGGCCCCAGCTCAGGCCCCTCTGCAGTGAAACAGGCGGGAGGGGTAACAAACCAGCTCTCATCCAGCAAGCAGGAGGGGGCTGGTTTGGGGCTTGGTGGGGCAGCAAAACTATCTGAGGGGAGGGGAGTGGGGCAGCAGCAGGGGCAGGGGACCACACACACAGGGACACATGATGGGATAGGGAAAAGAAAGGGGAATAATTAGTCAGACCCAAAGCCCACTGGCATTAGGGTATCCTTTCCCCCCAGCTGGTGCCCTTCTTCTCTGGTTAAGTCTTCTTTCCTCCTCCCCCAGGCCAGGCCCACTGCTATTCTCCTAGGACAAGAGCAAAGACCAACCCTTGTAGAAGCAGCTGCTGCCCCAGGGGGAAGGGAGCTGTGAAAGACCCTTCTGGCCTCAGCAACAATCCCCTTCTGCTCAGCCAGTCAGAGGCCTAGTATCCCCCTCTGGATCCAGATCTGCCCCCTTCCCTAGGATCTTCTGCTTCAAGAATCAACACTCCCTTCTCTGGGCTGATCTGAGGTATTCCCCCTCCCCAACCCTTACAATAGAAGTCATTCTCTTGGACCTCCACATGCTCTAATAGCCCTGAATACTTTCAAATGGGCCTTGAAAGAGAATTCTGGAATATCTCCTAGCCATCATCCCCTCCCAATTTGGGGGATATGAGGACCCAGGAATTCTATCCTTACTCCCAGCCCCAGCTCTCGGAGCCCAGAAACCCTTGTGTAGACTCTTAGCTGGAGCAGGCACCCAAGGTATTCTCCAGCCACTTACCAGGTAGGTCGATAATGAGCCATCCATCCACTTCTTCCTCATCCTCAGGGCAGATGAAGGCTGTTGGGGAGGGGGGCTCCTCAGAGGGAGGGCTGGTGCTAAAGAAGAGGCTGGTGAGGCGCTGGAACATGATGCACAAGTTGGGGTTGGGGAGGTAGCAGTGGAAGACCCAGCTTCAATGATCCTGCAGAGACCCGAGGAAAAGGAAGCTAAAAATCAGTCAGGTCTTGGCTCCCACTCCCATATCTCATCAAGCTGGGCGTAGGGAGGACCCTTCTTTCCACCCATGGATGCTCCCCAAGCCATGGGATAGGAGGTAGCAATGTCCCAGATCCCAGTGGGGACAGTTTTTGACAAAGGGATGTAGGATTAGGGTAATAAACCTTTAACCCTAGCAGGAAAGGAAAACTTCCTGGAGGGAGTAGAAGGAAGACAAGGGAGAAATTCATCCCCTCCCCTCTATTAAAAGCTGAGCAAGGTTTCCTGCTCCAGAGAGGAATCCTGAGGCACAAAGTGTGGGCCCAGGGAGGCAGTCTTTCCCATAAGTACTGAGTATCTTCCTCTTTCCACCACTCCCTCCCATACCTCCTTATCCCCCAAGGACAGCAGGCTAAATAAATATTCTCATCTATTTTATCTGAGACAATTCAGAGCCTTGGGCCCATATATTCCAGGCCTGAGACTGGGCATCAAGTCACTTAGGTTTTCTGCCCAGTGCTTCCTGTATCCCCACCTGTCCTAAAGAGTCTGAACGGTGGCCTGTCTTAGGGGATTAAAATAAGCCTGGACAGTGGATAGAGAATCCGGCTTTGGAGTCAAAAAGACCCAGGCTCAGGTTCTACTTCTGACACTGGATTATATGATCTCAAGCAAGTCAGTTCCCCAGGCAAGTAAGACTGTATAAATTGCTGGAGAGTTTCTGATATGTATCGGTACAGGCAGTTCCCTTACCATGCATTCCCTGTACTAGACCTCTCTCACTTCCAAGAAAAGGGATTGCTCAGCCTATGAAAGGGGGCTTGGTACCACAGGGAGAGTGATGAGTAGGGGAGAAGAGCTCTGAGGTCCAGGGGGCTGCAAAATATGATGGAAAGAGCACTGGATTTGGAGTCAGGAGACCCGAGTTCCAGTTCTGGTTATGATACTTACTAGTTGTGTGACCTTAGGCGAACCATTCCCTTTTGTAAAATGAGAAGATTGGACATTGTGGCCTCTTAAGGTCACCTTTAGCTTTGACATCCTAGGATATTGTGGCTTATTTGAAGATCAAGGCAGATTTGGTTCATGAACTGAGCATTCCACACAACTCTCAGGAATTGGGATCCTTACACACCTGGTTACCTTCACTCAGTTCCATCCCACCACTTTCAGGGGTGCATCCGAACCCAAGCAGGTTCCTACTAGGCAAACAACTTCCTTGTTTTTAACTTCCCCAAATAACCTTTGGGAGGACAAATCCCTTTAGTCATTGCAAGAAGTGCCCAAAATAGATTCTGTGGCTCCCAATGAGTCAGTGGTGCAGCTAGGAATGGGACCCCAGAACCTCAGCTCTGAAAACTAGGCCTCTCAACCAAATGCTTGCCTGGTCTCCTCCAGGTACAACTGCTTTGACAGGAAAGGGGATCATCATCATCATAGCATGAGCAGCTGACATTTATAGTGCTTTGTGGGTGCTTACCCCACTTCAACCTGGTGAGGTAGATAGTCTTACTGTTCCCATTTACAGATGGGGAAACTTGACAGTTGGAAAGGGGGAAAAAATTGCCCAGAAGCCCATCGTAGCTCAGCCTGGCCTAGGATCTAGGTAATCTGACCCCAAATTCACTGCTTTTTATACTGCATCAAGCAGGATGGGCAGGCCAAGTACTAGGCACATTTACCACTAGCACCACTCCCTCCCTACGCCTTCAGAAGGATAACTGCCTTATTCTCTGCCTGCCCACTCAACCTAGCTCCTCTTCAAGGGCAAGGAGAGAAGCAGAAAAGCAGACAGGCCAGCAGAGAAAAGTAATACAAACCTCACCAGCTCCAACTGGACCACAGACAGGCAATGTTGTCCCAGAGGTCATGAGCTCCAGGATTGTATTACTTGCCCCTGATGCCTCACTTCCCTCATTCCCAGGGTAGTCTTTCACTATGGAGTGAAAGAGCTAGGTAGGCTAAGGGGAAACAGCATCAGCATCAACCTTCCAACCCTGGGAGTCCCTGAGCTTCTGTTTCTCTGATCCCACAGAAAGGTCTCAATTTCCCAGGAGTTTTAAAGTCTAATGCATATCATTATTTGCCCTGAGTGGCCTTACAGAGAGACCAGACCCACTAAACCCAGATGTGAGGCCTCAGGTTTTCCTCGATAGGGTCCCAAGCCAAACCCTAACCGCCGCCCCCCATCCCTCCCGGGCCCCTCCAGTCCAGCCACAGGCCTCGCCCCATCAGGCCTCTATCCAGCTCCAACCCAGCCGGGTCACCAGAGGACAGTCAGAGTTGGGGGAGCTGAGGGTGGCGGGGAGGAGCTGGCCTTGGTGACGACTCAATGTCATATGCAAATATGATGACGTAACCGCAGCGGACAACCCCAGGGAGCCAATGGGCAGAGGGCAGTAGGGCTCCGGGCTCCTGCGGTTGGTGAAGCGGCGAAAGCCAAGAGACAAAGGCCCAGGAGCGAAGCCGGATTTCTAGCGAGGGAGGGAGGGCAGCCCCGCGGGACGAAGGGTTCAGCGGTCCCGGGACAGCCTAGCCTCGGCAGCCATGGGGTCGCTGCGTTCAGAAGAGGCAGGGTTTGCACCCAGGCCTCGAAGCCGCGATCCCTGGAGCCCCCGAGCTTCCTCCACCCCGCTCAGGCCCCTCCGCAGTAGCGTCTGCGTAGCTTCAGGAGCGTCCCCGAGCAGCCCCCGGTCCGACAGAGAGCCGCAAGCCACCTTCCTCACCCACTTCGACCTCCAACGGCTGCTCTTCCCGCCCACACCTCCGCGCCGTTCCCCGGGGGCCGGGAGTCGGAGCCACAAACGGCCCCCCGAAGTCCCTGAGTGGTGCGGGTCCTTGAGCAGCCACAAAAATAGCCCCGAGCCCCCCCACCACGCTCCGCCTCTGACAGCGCTCAGGTCATCCCGGCTCAGAGCTGCAGAGAGAGGCCCAGTCCGGACTGCACTGACCTGGCACTGCTTCCACTCGCCGGCCACGTCCCGGGGCAGCGAGCGCGGAGCTGACCGGGCCGGAGCTGGGGAGCAGGCGATGGGAGAAGGGGGAGGGAGCCTGCTGTGGCAGTGTCCCAGGGCAGGAGGCTTCTTAGAGATCCAGCAGCATGACTGGGGGCTGGCTTCGGGGGTAGCTAGTTGCGGGGATGCGAGCTTTGCTTCCAGCGCTCCCGGCAGGGGTTGGTGTATTGGCAGCAGATCCGCCGGGGCTCACGGCACAAATTGGAACGCTCAAACAGCTGATTGTGACGTCACAAAGGGGCCCGCCCGCCTTCACGTCACGGCCACGGCTGCCCGAGGCCAATCAAGAATTGTGTGTCCCCGGGTTCCCTACCCCCAACCCGGTGATCCACCCACAACAGGGCACATGTACACTTTTAGGTTCCGACCAGCCTTCATTAGTCCTGCGCCAGCCCAGTGGGTTAAGGCAGCTTGACCCACTTGGGTGGGCCCAGCTTATTCTCTAGCCTGGTGCTCCCTCTCTTCCTTCCACCATGGGCTCTGGGGTCGGGTTGCTGCCTCCCCAGTTCTTCCTGACCCTATCAACCCTCTCTATTCCTTAACCAACCCCTCCCCTATCCTCTGGAGAAGAGGGAGGTGAGAGAAGAGATCCAGAAATACTGGCCTCTCGGGTCTTAGTAGCTTTAGGGGAGATTGCTCTGCATGGAAGGGCCCCTTGCTGGTTCTCAAGAGTGAGTCAATCAGATTCTTCCTGAGGAATCCCAGGGAAATCTGGGGGACGTCAGGAAGATACAGGATTGCCCAAAGAATAGGGAGGAAAGAAACAAAGTCCTAAATTGGTCTTTAGGGCTCCTGGAAAAGCTCTTGTGATAGAGCTCTGGACAAGAGGTCCACTCATTATGTGTCCTTAGGTATATTCGTGCTCCTCTCAGCCTCAGTTTATTCATCTACAACATAAGGCAGTTGGACTCGATCAGGTGTTCTTAACCTTTTTTGTACTATGGACCCCTTTGCCAATCTGGTGAAACCAATTGTCACCTCAATAATATTTTTTAAAGCACAAAATAAAATACACAAGAAATCAAAGGAAATCAAATATGTCGAAGTAGTTATCGATTTTTTAAACCCAGCTCACAGACCCCAGGTTAAGAACTCCTGGTCTAGATGATCTCCAAGGACCCTTTAAGCTCTGAGGTTTTTTCTACGGTCTATAACCTCTGACTCTTCAACTCCAAAGTCTGACTCCTCAAGATGGCCCATGGCACTTCCTTAAGTCTCCCACTTGATTTCTCCCCTGGGATTTGAGGCTAGAAGCAATGGAAACCAAATCTGCACCACTCACATTTGAACCACCTTGGTTCACTCAGGTTCAGTGGTCTCAGACGTTCCAGAGCTTAAGGATATAGGACAGAGACCTTAAATAATGGTTAAGGGCTAGCTGGGTACTTCTCAAGGCAGGGCTGGAGGTTAAAGTTCAGAAGCTTCTGGCTCCCAGGATCTTTATGGAGTAGTAGGTGCAGGGGAAAGAGACTTCCTAACCAAGAGAAAGTGCAGAACGGAGAGGGCCCCTAGGTTTTAGGAATAAGGGAGTCCCTCAAACTTGAGTCTGGGTGGAATTTGAACTCATTCCCCAGCAGTCCAATTCTGCAACCTACAAACCTAGCACTTCAAAACTGGAGACAGAATAGAAAACAAGTTCCATAACTATAGAGACTGTTTCATTTTTGTCTTTGTATTGTCAGCACTTAGCACAGTGTCTGGCACCTAGTGGGTGCTTGGTAATTGATGGGAAGGCATCTTAGAGACCGTAGTCCAATTCTCTGATTATAGAGAAACAAACTAAAGACCAGAAAAGGGAAGACACTAAGGAGTCCAAATCACACAGAGGACCTAAGTCTCCTGACACTTTAAGTCCTATGATTTTTCACTGGGTTCCTTCAGAGCCAGCTCTGCCATTAACTTGCTATGTGACTTTAGGCAAATGCTGTCTCCCCTGAGCCTTTTTTCTTCCCCACTTGTACAATGAAAGGATGGGACTTGATTTCTAAAGTCTTTTTCCACTCAAAATTCTATGCTTCCACTCTCAGAATCCACAGCCCCACACCCTAATACTTCCAGTTCCTCACTTGCTATAGGATTCCCCCGACTTTGCCACTCCCAGGGTCCTACACCTGCGCCCCCCCCCCAGGATGAGGAGATATTGGAGGGGAGGAAGTAGGGCCTGAGTTTTCTCTGTGCTAGAAAAGGGATCAGTAGGTGGGACCTAGATTGACCCATGAGCTTCTTTGGGGACCATGTTTGTCTGCCTACCTTGGCACAACAGGAAGCTGTGGACTTGGGAATCCTAGGGAACCTTGGGCTAGAACTGGGGTTAGGCCAGGTACATGCCTCATTGCTTTGTCACTGACCACACCAAGCCTGGCCCCAGGACATGAGGAAGGGGCCCCATGTGACTGGCTCACCCAGAAGGGTGAGGCCCAGGATGCCTGAATCTGGCAGAGTAATGACTCAATCTTCTTGCTGGCTGGCCCTTGCTAAGAGCCCAGGCACCAGGACTTCATAGGCACCAGCCCCTAAGCAGCAAAAGAGCTGTGAACTCCTCACCCTCACCCTGACCTCTTGACCAATATTTGGTTTCTAAACCTTCTACAAAAGACAACAAATGTGTATAGGAAAGAGTGCTGGATTTGGAGTCAGCAGACTGCTGGATTTGAATGCTACCTCAGACCCTTAATAGCTATGACTGACTATGGCTAAGCCACTTAGTTTCTCCCACCCTAATAGCACCTACTCATGGGATTGTTGTAAGATCAAATGAGGTAATATATACATAATCCCCCTTGCAAACCTTAAAGTGCTGTGCGAATTATGATTCTGACCACATCTCTCCCCTGCTCAGGAAGCTTCAATGGCTCCTATTGTCCAGAGGAGAAAGTCACAGGATTACAATGTGATTTAGAGTTGTAAGGGACCTAAGAGATCGTCTTGTCCAGCCTCCTTATGTCACAGATGAGAAAACTCAGGCTCTAAAGAGCCTGGAGCTGGAATTTGAATCTAGGCCTTCATATTACAAAAGCAGTGCTATTTATTCAGCCTGGCATTCAAGTCCCAGGCACTTCCCTACCTTGTCAATGTATCATCCATAATTCCCCAGCTTAGACTATCCCCTGTGGGCTCCCACACACGCCCCCTTCCTTTGATCATACTTACCCCTTGCCTAGAATGTCTTTCTCCTCTGTAAACCTTAAAATGCTTCAAGGCCTAGCCCAACTCATGCTTCCTCGAGAAAATCAACTCATAGGGAGCTACTGGTTGTTTTTCAGCTAATGTGGAACCCTGAACGGCAGGGACAGAATGTTATTCAGCTGTCTGCCTTTCAGCCCTTGTGCATAACAGATGTTCAATAAATGTTTCTGGATTGGCTGCCTGAGGGGGAGGAATTTGGGCTCAGAGAAATCGGAGGGTCAGAATTCTTATCTTAGAGCCCAGAAAGGGCAAATGTGGTCACTGCCTTGGGCTTTGCTCCAACACCCCAATCAGTCCCTAAGATCACAGGGTTAGGGTTTGACTACAGCTCTGACCTGGTCAAGGTTTGGTGTTTGAAGGACTCTGTGGAACAAATGGATAGCATCCCAGAACTTCCCCATGATTGGGGAGGGAGAAACTGTATCGTTTTGGGGCCTCTCAGGTTTTAGGGGCCATGGATCATATCTCAGTTTCATTCTACAAACACTATGTATCTATTATATGCAAGATACCCCCATGCTAGACTGGGGATACCTCAATTACCTCAAAAAATAACCTCAAGAAGTTGTCAATGGTACTTGAGGGATACAAGAGATATATACATAAGTATGATACAAGGTAATTTGAGAAGGAAAGGGCATTAGCAGGGGTGTGTTTGTATGTATGTGGGGGGAGTGGGAGGGGATGGAGAACCCAGAATCAAGGAAGGTCTCACAGGAGAGTTAGCAGCTGGGGCAAATCTTGAAAGAAGACAAGGATCCTGAGAAGTAATAATGAGGGAGTGAATTCCAAGCATTGGAGACTTCTAGGATTCACAAACACACTCTCCTAAGATCACAGATTTAGAGTTACATAGGCCTTCAGAGATCACCTTCTTATTCTCTTTCTCCTCTCTTTACAGATACCAAGAGTAGGAGACAAGGACCTGGCCCCTTCTTCATCCCAGCCCAGATTTAGTGGCACTATGTCTTTGAGGGGAGAGCACTATATCAGCCATGATCATTAATCCTGACTGGATTAGAATATAGAAGACAATCCAGACCAGGCTCCCACTGGAGGGCAATTTAGAAACTTTTCCTCAGGTGGATAGGTAGATGAATGTTCCCCTTTCCCTTATAAAAATACTCAGTATATATTTTCACACATACACACACACACACACACACACACACTCTCACATAAATGTATAAAGGTAGAAGAAGGCCTTGGAATGAGAAGACCTGAGTACAAGTCTAGGCTCCGATACGTATTAGCTGTGTAATGCTGAGGGAAGTAAATTCATCTGCCTGACCCTCAGTTTCTCCATCTGTAAAATGAGAATAATCACTTGTACCTACAGACTTCACAGAACTATTGTAAGGAAAAGCATCTTAGGGTAGGAGCAAGTTCTAGACCTGAATTTAAATCCTACCTCTGACTCATTTGTGACCATGGCAAATTATTTAACCTATCTTAATCTGAGTTTCCTTCTTTGTAAAGCAAGGATAATAATGCCTTTACCTTCCTCATAGGGTTGTTTAAAACAGTGATTTTCAAACTTTTTGATCTCAAGACCCCTTTATACTCTTAAAATTATTGAGGATCCTCTGCAAAGAGCTTTTGTTTACTTGGGTTATACCTATCCATATATACCATATTAGAAACTATAATATCTTAATATTATTATAAAAATAGTTTTGACCCCAGGGGCCCCCTGAAAAAATCTCTGGGACCCCTAGGAGTCTCCAGACCAGTGAAAACCACTGGTTTAGAGAATCAAATGAGCTTTGCAAGCTGATGTACACTTTGCAATCCTCAAAGCATTAGAGAAACGTCAGCTAATGGCACTCTAGAAATGTGAGTTCTAGTAACTGCACACATTCACATACATGTACACAGGCATATTCAATTACAGACATGCACCCACATAGCTGGTAATGTTGAGGTTTTGTGGGCACTTTTACCCAGTGTTGGGACAAACCTTCAAGTACCATGGGTGAATGTGAAGTTTTTTCTGATCTACCCACCCCCTAGCGC